AAATACTGCTCGGGAAACACCAAATCTAAGAGACCGGGCCAATTGACTTAAGTCCTTCAGATCCCTTTTTAATTCCCCTCTTAAAGGACCTAGAGGGTGTATTACTTCCATGACCAGAACGGCTTAATCCGTCGACACTAAACCCACATCTTTTAATACCTGTATCAGAAGAGGATGATAATCTAGAGTCCAAGTCATCCAACCTGAAAAGAATAGAAAAGTAAAAAAATGAAAAAAGAAAATTAGATGCACTTATAATACAGAATCCATGAAGCAGTAGTGCATTCATAGAAGTAATTATCAGCTTTAAATTTTCATCGCAAGAAATGAACAGCCACAAAAGGGTGCAATATTTTGAGAATGTAGACATGATAACAAGTACTTATTAGAATGATGAAGCCAAAAAGAAAACCTTTAACTAAGTCATATGCATTTACCTGTCAAGCAACCAGAATCAATGAAAACAATGAATTATATAATTACATTCTATTTTTTTTTTTTAAGAAAAGTATGATTATATATTCACGGGCACCAGGGGGATGTAACCCGAAACAAATTTACAAGTCAATTAAAATATCAATCAAGTCTCCAAAATCCTCCATAGTGTAAAGAGGAACATTAGACTAGACATCCTCAAAATCTCTCCTATTTCATTTTCCAAATGGACCAAAATGTAGCCAAAGGAATAAGGCTTGCCCTCTTATTCCTCTTGCCTCCACGTCAAGCCCTAATCTCATTGACTGAGCCAGCAATCACCCAATTGATGCCCAGCACACCATAGACTAGAGACCACAAACAGTGGGCAAAGGGACACCACAACAAGATAAGATTACACGACTCTGCATTCCTCTTACATAGATTACAAGAGTTAACCAAGATTCTACCCCTCTTGATTAACTTGTCCAGGGTGAGAATGCATTCTCTAGGGGCTTCCCAAGCGAACCCTTGGCGGTGCCATGACTTTCCATATAAGCCTGGCAGGCAGATTCAGATTGTTATCCTGCTTCTTGTTCAGGTAAATATAGAAGGACTTTACAATGAACACTCCTTTATGGTTGAGCTTCTAGATAGATTGATCGATTACAGTCCAAAATTTTATGCAGATGTTAATATGGTTATCTCTCTCTCTCTCTCTCTCACTCTCTCTCTTTTTTTTCCTGAACACCCTTTTACATTTTTTTTTTCCTGGACACATCTTACTTACCTGTGAAACACATTGGATTGAAAGCCCCAACTAGCGTCAGTTTCAATCATTCCAATGGGTGCACAAGGATTAGTAAATTTTTTTTAAGAAAACTGAAATCCCTTATGTTGAACCTTAAAAGTGGTAAAGAAAAAGAAGTGCAACATCCTAAAATTTCAAGATTTCACCAAAGATTAAACACCTTCCAAAGGAACTGCAAAGAGATTTTATCAAACTGTGTAAGCGTTACAGGCTGTTCAAAAGAATGATACTTAACCATGAAGATACATCATTATACACACTGAAAGCTTTTACTTTATAACAAAATGGAGAAACAATAAGTCGACTATACACCACAAAGTAAATATTCTTTCCCAAGTCAATATTCATACTCCATATCTTAAACTATTGGAGCATAAACTTGAGATAATAAGACACTAAGAAACAAGGGAGCAAACGGACTTAAAACACAGTTCTTATTAAAATCTACAAATTGATTTTGACATCTAAGGCAGGTTATTACAAAACTATGACTCAACTTTTTCATGCACTCTGGAAAATTTTTTAATCCCTTTATTCTCCTTAAAATAGAGGGGAAAAACTCTTCATATTTAATCAATTATCACTTTCAAAATTTAAAGCCAATGGTTTTTCTACATAAGTGCTAAGACCAGAGTCCAGTAGACACAACTCATATTTCTTTTCAGAAAAGTGAAGTCGTGATTGATGTATAAGGTCTGCATTAAATCATTATCCTTAAAGTTATATAAGCATAATGACTTAATGCAGACATTTTTCTTATTTCCTTTGGAGAAAAATTTCGTTCTACTTAAATTTACACTTGCAAATCCAGCAACACTTAGTAGAAACACATCAATCAGATGTATATGTGTACCTAACAAACTTCTCCCGCTGGCCACCCACGTACTGCGCTTTGTAACCACAATCGAACATCCTTTCATAGAAAACACATAAATGTCGCCTGATTAGAAAAAATAAAACATGAGTTAGAATTCAAAGTGCCAACAGTCGAGAACTAGATGAACCAATAAACTTCCTCTCTCCCTCCACACAACTGACAACAGCAAATAGCACTTCAAAACTTTCTTCTAGAGCAAAGAATAACTTCTATTAGGCCTGAAAAAAAATGTGTATTTCCATATGGAATTATCATATAAAGTTTGAGAGGTATTCTCATCAAAAGATAACAGGAAATATCTACAGATCATACAACTCATCAGATTGGTTACTCTCTAAATACTTAACTAGATTTCAAACTAAAGGCAACAAAAACAATATCATGTGGCTTGGGATTGTCCTCTAATGATGCTAATAACGGGTGCAGCCTTAGTAAAATTATTACAGATGACAGATAATTTCGCTCTTCTTTTACTCTAAAAAGTATTCAATATAATCAGTTCAACGATCCTTGCTATTAACTTTTCTTAAGATGTAATGAATTCCCGAACATGATTGCAAAAAGACAGATCACTTTGCATAATTCAATTGAAGCATTGGCAACGCGTACACGCTGGTTTCCTTACTCACTTTAATTTTCCAGCGTTGACCACCAAAATTCACGAACAACAAGTTGAAACGAAAATCAAAAGTTTCCTCCAAAAGAAGCCGAGATACATGTAAAAGGAATCACTATAAAGAAACATCACTGCATATTTAGAGATTGATTACCTTACGCGCTCCCCCCTCCCCCCAAAAAAAAGCCACTGTAGTCAATACATAATCCAACATTTCACAGAACAATATACACAGTAAATAAAGCATTTGATACAAATTACAAATAAAGATTAACTAAAACTTCAGAAAACTGCCAATAATAGATGCAATTACACATGCTTAAGCACATACATATCCATTAACACACTGATTTTGAAGTAAAATCATATCAGGTAGGAGAGGAGATGGATAGAGATAGAAATGAACTTACAGCGAAACCCTTGGGGTTCAGTTCATAAATCAGAGCAGTAGTAACATGAGCAGAAGGAACTTCGGGGATTACCAAAAGCGAAATAGAGATTCAGATATCAAACGCGTCCGCAGAGGAAGACAACGGAGGAGGACCAAACGAAGAAGAGAGAGAAAGAGAGAGACAGTGAAATATCTGTCTGTTACGGCACTGGGAAAGAACAAAAAGCAGTAGTCAAAAACTGAAATGACCTTTTTGACCTCGGGTTTTACTAGGTGCTTGCCGATTCTCTCGTCTCCTCCTCCCGTGACGCTGAGAACTAAGAGTTTAATCGAATAGATATTTTTCGTATTTAATCTGAAAGCGAGCTTAATAAATTTAATTAAAAAATAAACAATAATTGATACAATAAAATAAAAATATAAAAATATTTTATAATAACAACCATTTTAAAAGTTATTTATTACTTGATATATATATTTCTTTAGGAAGATTAAAAACAAATTATATATATATATATATTCATTTTCCAAAAGTAAGTAACTAATGATGTTCCCCTTTTTCAAAACATTTTTAAATTTGAGCAAAAATAATTAAAATTAAATTACTTATCTTGGAATATATTGATATTTTATTTTAATAAAATTTTATTTTATAAAATGTGATTAATGAATAGCAATATATTTACATTTAAATAACAAATAACTATTATGAATTGTTCAGATAGACATCAAATATTCAGATCATATGGATTCGATAGAACTGTAATCGAGTAACACACGAACCAACCAAACTCGTTAAAACGAAAGGATTATTAGCTAGGCTTCATTTTTGAGATGTGTTACATACTCATATTCTTGTATTATTTCAATAATTAATGTTATTTACCTTTTTAAAAAAAAAAACTATTATGTATTATAAAAGTATAGATGAGTTAGAGAAATTTTATAATTATGATTAATTTATTTATCAATTATATTTATAAGCAATGTCAATTTTAAACATTTAGTAAATTTTTCTCAATAACCGTAAGTATTCATTTTGTGAGTAATTAATGCAAAATTTATACTTCCTACATAGTTTTTGTATGTATGACATATTCAATTTGAAAGAAATTTCTAATTTTAGTGTACAATTTTTAATTTGTTTAAATCTAACTACGAAGTAAATATATATATATATATATATATATATAATACCCAAATGTTGACTTGGGTATTAAATTTATTATTTTAAAAATATGTATAAGAATTATCAAACTATTAGATATTATAATTTTTAAAATTTATGGGCAAACATAGTAGGTAATAATCTTATTTAGATTTAAAACCCTATAATTCTTATAATAACATTTTAGTACTATCAAACATTAATTATTGCATATATTTATTTAATTAGAGGGTAAATGGTTAAAAATAAAAGTAGAAAAAAGATCTTTGCCTATATTTATTTTAAGCTTCAAGAAGGTTAAAGCAATTTTACTTGCTGGAATTGGGTTTTAACCCTGATGAAAAGGCGTCCGTATGATTTGACCAGTGCAATGAATCTCGAACATGTTACGTGCTCCAAACCTCGTGTAGGTACATAATGTGGTCCACTAAATCTTGCCAACCATGCTTAGACGACTTCTTCCCTTTTGGGGGCTTCTGGCTTTCTGCTCTAATAACATTGGTTTCATGTCACTAAAAATTCTGATTGACCCAGTCATTCAGTTCATTCGCTGTTGGAGTCCCTGGTAAGAGAAAATTTACAGTGGCATGTGTGGTAACTTGATGAGATTTGAAAGGAATTCAACAACTTTGTATGGTAACTAATTAGTATTTCACAACTGGATTCCTGTATGAAATTATGAAATTACTGTAAAATGTTAGAAAATTATCAAAATCATACGCGTACAACAATGGAACCCTGTATGTAGATAGCTCCTTCGAGGTATCACAAAGGAACCATGTTCTAAATCAAAATCATACTGTCGTAGAAATCGCAAGATGCAAAGTTCAAAAACAATGGAATCCTATGGCAAAACAAAACCTGGCAGAGCGAAGAGTTTCCTCGTATGCATTAAAAGTAGGAAGCAATGGAATCCTTATTTTCTAGCTAGATGATTTGATTCTAATTATCTTTTTCTTAAATAAAATTGGGAAAAACTCTATGGGTAAGTTGTCTAGATTCTAAGCACAATATGAAAATAGAAGCCGCAACAAGCGAGCCAAAGACCACACATTTGGACAGCAGTTGTAAGTGATCAAATTGCAGAAAGAACAGCAGTCATAAACTCGATAAATGAATCCAATGCTTCCAGAAGAAATCCCAGCTACAAACATGATCCATGTGAATGAGCAATACTACTGCAATAATCTACCCGCAAGAGTGGGATCCGTTTGTTTTGTTCAAAACTGTGACAGTATCAGCTTTAAGTGAGTTAAATCTGACAGAGAGATGACAAGCTAGAAAACTGCTCATGAGTGCAGAAAGCATATTTTTGGAAAGAGCCGACAGCAAATAAACAAGCAACAAGCACAATGCTTTTAAATATGCATCTATGCAAATCCAGATCTCCAAGATTTTCCACTGACAGTTTAAATAGAACAGAATCGGAAGAAAGCAAAGTAGGCACTAAAAACCAGGAAGATCTATCTGTTGATTGGTGGTTCCCCCCCTACCCCTTTTTAACTTTTAACACTACAATAAAGATGTAAACAATCAGGTCAGGTTTTCTGGATAAAAGAAAATATATATATTAGAAAAGAAGTACGAAGATGAAAACAGAAACAAGGAACCAGGCAGAACAACTTAAAGATAGTACTTTATTCTCTTCGCAAGGTGCCAAAGAGACTTCCTGGAAAAACCATAAACCTTAAACCAAAACAAAGCCAAAATACCAATCTGTCCAAGGTAAAGAAGGGAGACTGAAGGTGAATTTAGAAACTATGATTCCTTTCCAGCCACAGAATACATAATACACATAATACAACAAATATAAAATTCCCCATAACATTTTATATTCCTTGTTCTTACCAAATCTGCATAGAGCAGATATGATAAAAACTTCAAGGGAAGGGGACAAACCCACCAAACACCAAAGATATCAAAGAGCCTATTCCAAAGCCTAATCCAGAGTAATGTAAGTACATTGCACCAATTTCTGAAGATAAAACTTGATTAAATCTACATCCCTGGTTAAATTTATGAAGGGCACAATCCAATGGGTTTGAAGAATCTGAATTAACTAGGCAGTGATTAGAAGAATTCAGATTTAGCAAAATGACAAAGCCCTAGATCTTTTTCCCTAATTCCAATCATGCAATAGGAAACTAATCAGTTTAGATCAGCATATAAAGAAACTGAGAATTCCAGAGAGAACTTTTAGCATGCTTTTTCTCAAATAAAAAAAAATCCCAGGATATGGGGAGAGAGAATAAATTAATCTATTTACCTTGCATCCAATCTACACAGTTTACTCTTTTCTTACAAAAAAGAAAAAGTATGTATATCCCAAAGGAATTAAGGAGATGCAACCCATAAACAAAAGAATTTATTAAGCTTATCAAAACATCGATATGGTCTTCTAAATCCTCGTTAGAGTACAGTAGTTGAGCCATAATAAAAAAACTCAGGGTCTGGAATCATGAATCATTAAATCAAACAAAACTAGGAACTGCCTCCTCAAAATCCCTTTTATTACTCTCTTTCCAAATGTCCCAAAAAATAGCCAAAGGGCTAAGCTTAACAGATTGTTTATTTCTCTGAGCACCTTTCCAAGCCTAGAGCTCCTCTCTCACTATACCTGCCACTACCCAACTCAACCCAAGAAGGTATATGCCAAAGACCAAAGGCTGTGAGCAAAGGACACCACAGTAAATGTGATTGCACGATTCAGCCCTGCTCCTACATAACAACCATTAACCAGCATCTTTTCCATTCTGATCAATTTATCCAAAGTGAGAATGCATTCCAAAACTGCTTTCTGTACAAAAAAGCCACTCTGGATATGTCCTTTACCTAGGCAGTTTATCTTGTTTTAGAACTTTAAGTGAACAAGGAGACACATAGTTCATGTTTGTGCTAGACTGAAAAGTTCATTTTAGGGCAATAGAGAAGCCTCTAAGCATTCACATTTACTGCCTCAAGTTCCAAAAGAATATATTAGTATGCATCAAATTCCCAAGGTTCCACGGGTATGGATAAAGAAGGACAGTAGGAGGCAAACTTGCTATGAAGAAAGACATATAGGTAGCTTACATGTCACGGGAAGATTTGCAATCTTGAAGAAGCGAAACTCATTAGTGACCATGCACCTATTCCTTCCAACTGGAAAAATGCAACCAAAACATAAGAGAATGTATTGAAAGGTGAAGAGATGACAGATAAGTGAAGAAATCATGGTATTTTACGATAGTGCTCAACTTATTACCAATGAACTATCATATAAAAGAAAAAACATTCTATCAATGAACTACAAACCAGAATTAATAATTAAATACACTGAACAGTTACTCATACCTTTTGGATTATGTTTCTTCAACACCGGATTAAGTATAAACATTGAAGTAGGCAGAGTTAGTAGCATTAGATTTCTCAGGATTGATGATTTAGCACATCAGCAATTGTGTTTCTAGCTTCTCTACATAATACATCTGCATTACTTCCTTCTATGGGCTTATGAACAACAACTTTTACTAACCCTGGATTCAAAATACCCTCCATTCCTGCAGGCATTATTTTGCCAGTTCCCATAAGAGTAATAGGTACCACAGGTACTCCAGTTTTTGCTGCTACACTGAATGCACCTTTCTGCACATGATTTCAAGATAAAATAGTGATTTCCAATAGTATTCTATTGTTTGATGTTTTTGACGGCAATCTAAAAATCACAGAAACATCAAGGAGAGATAGAGTGAAGGAGAGTGGGGAAAAGAAAGAAGCTATGCCCGCAGAGTTAGATACCCTCTGGATCTATTGTTCTAACTCTGCATAAAATTTCATAAAATTAAATTTTTTTAGTAGAATTTATACCTCTTCTTATTTGAACTAAGTGTAGATTTATAAATGACTTCTAGAAAAATTTTGGATTTGTCTGAAACATAGCCTTAAACATTAGTTCTTATATCCCTTCTCAAAAAAAAAAGTTCTTACAAGCACAGTGAGTTGCCCTATTAGTCACTTTAAATGCTCAAGTCTGTATGAGTCAAAAGGAAACCAGAAAATCTGAATGAAGCGTTGGCAAATTATGCATGTTTGTGAAGAGGTATAAATCCAAGGTCCTGTTGTTAAGAGTAGAGAAGACACCATTACCAAATTTTCTTCCACCATAAGACAGAATTTTTAATAATTTCAATTTCTATCCAATCAGCCTGAGCTATTATGAAAACCTTGGTATGAGGTTATGAGTTCACCTTAAATGGATGAAGTTCTCCATCTTTACTCCTTGTTCCCTCTGGGAAGAAGAAGACAGAGGCCCCCTTCCTGACAAGATCCATGCACCGTTTCAAGCACTCCTAAATGGGAAAAAACAAAGATAATGTCAATCCACAGAACATGCAAGAAAACAAGCCTGCCTAAATGAGGAAAATGGATAACAAATAAATTACTATAACATAATGTAGACCAAGAAACAGCAACAACAACAGTTGTGAAATTAGTATTTCAAGAAAAAGAACAACAAACATGAAATTAGGAAAGAAATGGAAATACCAACTGGCTTCTGCTATCCATGCGTTTCAAAGGAATGAGACCCATCATAAACATTGCCCACCCAATTATGGGGAAAAGAAAAATTCCAGTCTTGCTGATGAACTTGAAGGTTCTCCCAAGAGTAAGAAGTGTATATATGTCCAGAAAACTCTGGTGGTTAGATACATACACAGCAGGAGTATCTGGTGGAGGCAGATTCTCCAATCCCTCAAATTCAATTTTGAAAAAAGGAGTAACAGTTGCTGTTGCCCAAATTTTAGCAATAAAATGATGAAATTTTCTTCTATATCGATCAAACAACAGGACAAAGGGATGTCCAATTAGCATCAGCACAAAGAAAAAAATAGCTGCGACAGCAGTAATAGCATAAAAGCATATTCCTCTAATCTTGCTGCCCAATTTAAGTTCTGCATTTCAACGTTAAGAACAGAATAACTGGGGTTATAAAGCTCGATGAAACAGAAAGAACAAAATGTAGAAAAGGTTATCCAAAGGTTTGAAGAAAACCTGATAATGGATTGACAGATTCAGGAATCCCAGTTCCTGCAAGTTCAGATCTTACAATAGTTCTGGACAAGCCATTTCGGTTAGGTAATGTCTTATTATGTAATGGTCTGTTGATATCCACTTTTAGATTATGACAATACCACGACCCACCAGCACACTCCCTTCGAATCCAGAAAATGCTATTTTCAGCAGCTACAGAAGAGAAGCAGCTAACCAAAATGATTTATGGAATTCAACCCTATCTGGCTAATAAGCAGAATGCTCTATGAAAGGTGGCATTATGTAAATCCAAAATTTTCCATCTAAAGATACCAAAATTTTTCTTTTTGCTTGGAAACGGGTCAGGGACAAGAAAATTTCTAAAAATCATTATACAACATCAAACAAATAAAAAACTAACAAATGAATCATAAATCTAATACCAATTTCCCTATTCAATTAAAGAGAGGCTGAGCAATAACTGCATGGAGATTCTCTTCTTGATTTACTTATAACTTTCTCTTGTGCAGAGTTACAAAGTATCATGAACATGCAAACAATAGATCCTTAACCTTATTATATGCATGAACAAATAAACAGATATAAATAAGAACTTCATTTCTTACCATTATATGAACCCCTCAATGTTGCCCATTCATATGAAGAGAAGCCAAAATGAAGTCCCTTGAAAGCGAACAACTGCAATTTGATTTAAATCATGACCAACGTTAGAGCAATAATACTGAATATATCCTTGATAAAGAAATATTTAAAATAAATAAGCTGTAGGTCCAATTGCATTGCTCTCAGCCTTTCCCATCTGGGCATATGAGAGGAGTTCAAACAAGTGACTAGTGAATATTAAATCCTTTACTGCACGGAAAAATTCACTCCGCACTACTAATGGCACAAATAACAACGATTGAAGCTACAATCAAGGCTTTGAACGAGTTTATTGTTCAAAGTTCAATTAGAAAGGAAAACAATGTTACAGGAATTGGAAAACAATCTGTATAATTCAACTAGATCCTTCATCTTTACAACACGCTAACTACTACCGCTGGTTGCCATCAACTTGAAAATTTCCTGAAAACGATTTAATTTTATCCCGTCTTCTGTTCGGTTCCTGACAAATTAAGAGGAAATAGAGTCGTAATATCCCCGAATTTTTTACATGTTTTCCGCTTACGAAACAAACATATAATCAAAAAACAAAACTATCTTGAATCTTCTACTTCCATAGTTTTCTCTGATTTCCCCCATAACCAAACAAACAACAAGTAAATTTTAATCCACATAGGTTAAACGAAAAAAAGAGCAAAAGCGAGAAGAATAAAGACGGCAGTCACCGGCAACAAAGACGACGTAGCAGAATTCCTCGGTATTCTATAGCCTGGAAGATATAAAGGATTACGCAATCAACAATCTCAGCGAAAAAAGGTAGATAATCAATTTCTTAACTGCATATGCAAGTACATATACACATAAATCCATACAGAGCATATGATTCGTATATAAACACTGTAAATATAGACAGAGATACAGAGACGGAGAGCATACGAGGCGTAAGCGAAGAGATGCGAGGAGGAGAAGCGATTTCCATATATAAACTGCAACAATTTCACCCCAAGTCCCACTGGCCGATCCCTCTCGGTCCCGGTTATTTTATCTGCAGTTCACTATGACTTTCTATCTCCACTTCCTCCTAATCTCAGAGCAAATTGCTAGATGATAACCTTCAAAGTTCAACCTCTTTTATTCACATTTTTCAAATTTTATATACCATTTCCCGGACAACAACCGAATAATGAATTTAAAAAATATATAATTAAAAAAATGAGGAATAAACTATTATTTATGGAAAAGAATTGTCTATTTATTATTATAGTATTTGTAAAATAATATATTTATTTTTTTAATAGACGTCTTTGTTCTCGGAAAATATGTCTTTGAACTTATAGACATGATTGCGACATTTTGTTGGTAAAAATATCAGAGTCTTTAAAAGAGTCACACGTGATTATAAATTTGAACTTATCGTCATTTCTTGTAGAATTATTTAGTTCTTGAAGTGTTTTACAGTATGTTATCTCTTGCGTTCAAGACCCATAAATTATAAAAATTGATGTACAACATGTGAAGATGATTTTACTATTAACTATATCATATCAATCTGAATATACTTTCATCATTGAGGATTGTCGAATGTTGTTGGTTACAAGACCTGATGTGGTCACTGTATGGATACGTAGGCAAGGAAATAGAGTGCGAGATATATTTGTTTTAAACCTTGTTTTTATATATTGGAACGGATTTCTTTATCGATGTATTAATTGACTAAATTTTAATGAAATTGATTGTTTTTTTTTTTTAAATTATTTAAAATTAAATTATTAAAAAAAAATTATTTAAATTTAAAAAATAAATATTTATAAGCGATAAATGTAGTATTTTGGAATATAAATCTCTCACAAATTACATTAAATTTTCATTGTTTAGTAATTCGATGAACATAACCTACAAAAATATAAAAGTTAATCTTTCTACAAGTTTATTAAATTAAAAGATTAATTATTAAATTAATTTTTAGAATTTGGTACCTATTAAAATTTAATTTCTAATAATTTTTCTTTTATAATTTAATTTTTCAAAACAATTTTAAAATTATATGCTTATAGTATAAACTAAAATTTAAACTCGATGTGCAAATATTAATTAATTATTTTAGTATTTTTTTACTAAAGAATACAAAAGAATTATACATTTTGAAATAAATTAAAAACATTAAAATTTTATTATGACAAAAAAAATATCAAACTTTATTCTAACCTCGATGATATGTTAATTTATTCTGAAAGAAAAATAAGAATTTCAGAAACACGAGAGTGGACTAGTTGCGAGGATGGGTGTTGTCAGGATGAGCGACACCGGCTGTGACTTTAGCCACATCGAGAGCCGAGGCCTCCGGCTTCTTCTTTGAGTACAAGACAAAGTAGCCAATGGTAGCGGCGACCGCCAGCCCGCCCATTACCGCTCTTACCGGACAAACCCGCATCTTTCCGCGCTGGTGAAGCACCTCCGTCGACTGCTGCGCTGCTTGATCGGCTCCTGCCATTTTCTCTCTCGCTTTCTTCTTCACGTTTCTTCTTCTCCCCGAGCTTTTCCTTGATCTGTCTACCCGTGTTTTCTTTTGCGTTTCAATGGAGCCGGTTGCCTTCTGATATCGTTTGACGGGGGAAAGGAAATCGGAGGGGAAGTGTGTTGTTGTCCGACACGTGGCGGATGAAGAACGAGATTTCATCAGGTGACGACACGTGGTTATTAACACTGGAAGGAATCCCAACCTCGTACTGCTCCGCCATCGACGGGTAGCGAAGACTCATTGGTTAGGCCCAACCCGGGCCCGGCCTTTTCTTGTTTAGATAAATTATTATATTAAAATTATAATTTTATTATTTAATTTTTATAAATATTTGAATTTAAATATATAAATAATTAATTAATGAATATATAAATTTATTCAGAAAATTTATATATATTAATGAATATAATTACCATTTTATTATTATAATGATGTAAAGAAACCCAAGTTTCACGTACAATTAACTAAACACAAAACAATGGTGAAAACTGAAAAATAAAAAAATAAAATAAAATAAAAAATAAAACTTTGCTCCCAAGTAGACTGAAATTAAAATTAAATTAAATTAAAAACAAACATTAATCCTTCATTAAATCCTATAATTAACCAATAAATCAAAACCATAATCAATGAACACTTTAAAAATACTCAATAATAATACACCATTCGTCTCTCACTCCTCCACATAATAACCATGAACTCACATTACCAAAACCAGACCCGACCCGATCGCTAACCCGAAGAGACCCGCCAACCCAGCTCTCAATCCGCCGGCAGCGACATTATTATCGTCAGCGGGTGTCGGCGCCGGAGTAGTGATCGCCTGAGAATCGCTGCCACCGCCGGGTTGCTGGCGACTTTCGTGCAAGACCACTATGACCATCTTCTCACCCTTGGCGCAGTTTCCATCGGCTCCGCTGATGAAGAAATGGGGGCCGGAGTCGTCGATCTGGATCTTGGTTTTGCCGTCGTTGAACTGTTTTATGGGGTTCGATGTGCTGCAGCTGTCGTACGCCTCCTTCGTCACTTGCAGAACGGAGTCTTTGCTCGCATCGTATTCAAATACTGTGTAAAAAATTGGATTGTTTAATTATTAATTATCTGCTTAGTTTAATTAATTATGCATGATATCTACCTCGAGTTTAAATTTAAAAGGTTTAAATTTGATCCATCGTTACGCGCTTTTTGTATTGGTTGATTTAGTTGTATGACAACCAAAGATTTTAAATAAAGTTTATCGTCCAAAATATGCTGAAATACACGATACTTAATGATTGCAGAACAGTGGAAAGTAAAAGAGTATAGAGAAAATGCATGCATGAAGAAAGTTATATATATATACTATAAATCCCCAAAAAGCATATACGCAGAGATTTTTTATAATGCATGTGTGTACATACATTTATACACACACATCATGAAAAAATCAAGAGAAAATTAATCTTGCAGGAAGAAGATCAAAGCTTCAAGATAAACATGCATCAAATGCATAAGAATGAAGTGAACTAAACACACACACAAAGACATAATATAATGTGTGTGTGCATACATATATATATATATATATATATATGAAAGTAGATGAGATTGAGGAAATGGATAGAAAATCTTCCAATAGAAGAGATAAATTTTAGCTTCGACATAAACATGCATAAGAACTAAATGAAGTAAACCCATTCATATATATATACATATATATACTTACGTGCTTGAAAAAATGGCAAGAAAACCTTGCGGGAGAAAATGGATATGTATATATGAGCATGCATTATAAAATATGCAGAAGAACTAAACGAAGTAAACCCAAACGAGTAATGGACGAAGAAAATTACAGAGAACATCGCCAACTTGGAACCGTGATTTCTCAGCCCACTGATTGAGAGAATACCCAGAAGGAATTTTCCATCCAGTTTCCTTCCCGCCAACCCGAATCTCCGACGCCTGAGACGAGCAGGTGAAAAAAACCAACACTACCAGAGGCAGTAAGATTCTCAGAGAAGAAGAAGAAGAAGAAGAAGAAGAAGAAGAAGAAGAAGCCATTGATTTTGTTTTTTCAGAATTCTATAGCGTTGTTGGCGTAGGGGTTTGTGCCTTTAAATAGCCGCTCTCTTTAGTTCGGGACTCTAGGTTCGGACATTGGTTTGGATCGAACGAAGCTGGTCATGATTGACACGTGGCATTACGGCTGTTGAACGGTGTAGATTCCCTAATCTTTTATTTAGTTGACTAAATTAGCCTTCGTGCTCTTGATGCGTTTCTGTTCATTTAACGCTTTACGTACTTCTGGAATTAAGGGAATCTTAAGGGTTATTTTGGGAATTTCACAAAGGGCAAAGCCAAAAGCTCTGGACTACGTCGGTAATGATGTAAGCACGCGGAAATGCATTGAGTGTTTCACATCATCCCGAGCAAATTTAACTCCATAAATGACGTTTGGTTTGTTTTATATTTTTAATTATTGAAAATATAGTGTATATATATATATATATGTATTTTTTTTAATTGTAAAAATTATACACAAAAGTCTGTTTTATAATTGATAAAATCAATTAGGTTGAGATATAAGATTTTAGTATTTTTGAATTACAATTTTATTATTTTATTACT